AACTCAGGACTAGATATCAAAGCATTTAAGCAACTCTATCAGAACAGGTCATGTTTTTGGGGTGGGGAAATTGTCTACTGGTTGCCAATAAATGTGGTTTCAGCTACAGAATCTCTCTTAACACTCCTTCACAAAGAGTTTTGCAAATGCTTTCCAAAAATACTCTCCTCATTAGGCCATATAAAAGCAAGGGGCAGGACTGCAAGCTGCCCATCCAAATCAGTTATTTTCTCTTTCACACTAGATTAAATGTTGAGTAACCACCACCACCAGTGGAGTTACAACGGTGCAAGTCAGAAATGAGGACAGAATTTAGCATAATACTTCCATTAACTTTTAGTTACTTGTGAAAGAACAGGAGGAGATGATCTGATATATTTGGAGAGTACTAAGACTGCAAATAAACTCCACTTCTGCATGTCAGAACAGAAGATTTATGGCCAGTTTTGTGGTCTTTAACAAAGAATAGATGCTCTTTGCTGTACATCAGTTGTTTACAGACTTAGATTTTCCCTTAAAAGCATTTACCCTTGTATAACCTACTGCCTGTAAGTTTACTTTTCATCCACCTTTCCCAGACCTTTTAGGAATATTTCATGGATGCTGAGGGGTCTGCAAAACACTGCAATAGATCAAGTCAAAGTCAGGGAAATGCCCTCTGTAGCACCCGCCACTCTCAAACACGCTTGCTCTAAGACTGCACAGACTCTGCTATACAGAAAAACCTGGCAAGTTTAGAGAAGGCATGGAAATGCTTCCAGACCCTTCACAAGCATCTTCTGTAGCTGCGTCAAGCATCCTTCTTGCAAACAGGGAGACAAGCCTTAACAGCATTCAAACTTACCTGGGACCTCACAAACAGCAGTCAGCAGCACTAGAGATCCCAGATGTGGAGGAAACAGCTGGAGTTCCGATTTCTTCGCTAGACAGCTGGAGACTTCCCAATAAAAGTCAGTGCAGCTTTCGATCCCAACTTTTTGCTGTTCCAGCTGCACGTTGTGGATCCCTGGGGAACGCACTGGCTGAGGAATTCCTGGTAGCACCATTTCGTAAAGCAATGTATATATCTGGTTTGTTTCTTATTGTCATGGGATTAACTTTGAGCTGTACTTTGGCTAGTAAGTCAAGAAGTAGAATCACACAGAAGAGATTCAATATGCCAGTGCCATAGGGATTTCAAAGAACAGTATAAAAATTGCTGCAGTGGCAGCAGCCCCAGCCAAAGCAGAGGGGGGAGACCAGAGCAAAGAGAATTTCAATGCTACAGCCCAGGCTGGCTGGGGAAAGACATAACAGAGCATGTTCTTTGCTCATTTTCATCAGCTCCATTACTTTTGCTTTCAAAGATACAAACATTTTGTTATACGCTATGGTAAGAAAAAGCATTTTGCCATATAAAATAAGTATGCTTCCTTATTGCACACTTATACTGATCTATGGAAGAACTGTACATTCTGAACAAGCCATTTGTCAACAGCTTGTAAATCAGGGGGTTTTTAAGTAGTAACATTAGTCATTAATTGTTTTAAACTTAACAAGTGAACACTCAAGCAGGAAATACGATACATAAACAGGAACAAAGTCTTTAACACAGCATTCAGTAAATACACCAGTCAAAGCCTGGCCAGTCTGTTAGTAACCACCATCAACAGCTCTAAACACAACTGGTGGTTGTACAGCGTACGTACTCCCAGTGATGTTTGTACAGTTTGCTACTGAGCAATGGAAAACATCTTTTTTGTCCCAACCATCACCCTTTAGCAGTAATGTCTTTAAATCTAGTCTCCTTCCTTTTCAAATTTTTAGGGTCCAAAACTTTACTGCAATTTTTGGTTGCACATTACTCCCAGGACTGAAAACAAATGCTTCCAGTTCCCATTTGTGTGCCAGGAATATTCATATACAATCCCCCTTATTCAATTTTTATTAGTAGTAAATGGACACCAACCAGATTCAACTGCAAAATATGACCTCTATTTGGTCCATTTTTGTATCGCAGTCAGTACCTGAACTCAAGGAGGAAAGGTGAACCTTTCAGAGGACCCTGAAGTGGCTGCACTGGAATCCGAGCACGGAAAACCCAACTACTCATAGCTAATGACCAATTTGTTCCTCCTTCTTAAGTCCAGCTCTAGAGCAAGTTTTATGGTCATGTTTACTGGTAAAAAAAAGAAAATAAAATCAATTACAATTCATGAGACATCTGAACTCCTATTTACAGGAGCAAATTTAAGTACCAACCACGTTACTGGAATCACATGCCCCGGGGAAGGGAAAAGGAGTAGAAGAGACAGACAAACATTGAGAGAAAATGTGTAAAGTGGTATTATGTTATTAAAACATTACATCAGAAACAAACAGAACATAAACCAAAAAAAAAAGGTTTTAACCAGGTTTAACTTTTTTTTTTTTTAAATTCAAATTGACCCAAAGCAAAAAACTTACATTGCAAAGGAAGAACAAAATACAGTATGGTATCGGTAACACAGTGTTGCACAGAAGCCAGACCTGCAGGCAAGGTTGCAAGTCGCTCGTCACAACGTCACTGAGGGCTCTTGATGGATTTGACTGAGAAAGTTGGGATGCAAATTTTTTCATCTAGCCCAGGTCCACCCTGGTAAACACGTTACATATTCTCTTTTGCCTCCGGGTGTTTATCTGATGAGTTTGTCCAGATGTGTTCTCCTACAGTTGCCAACTAGAGCCAGAAAACTGAATTTTCCACGCTATCCCAAGGAAGCCAGAGTTATTCCAAGCATGAATGATAATGAATTTTTTTTTAAAAAAAACAACAAAACAAACCCAAAAACAAAACAAAAAAACTCTCGAGAGCTTTTCAAACTAACAAGTATTGTCTATAATGTAAATAGTTTAGAAATATGGTAATTAAATAATCTAAAAAACACTCTTACTCTGCTGTACATTTATAAACATAAATATTTACAAAAACTTTCTGCTTTGTTTTAAAGGATGAGGTTTGCAGTTTGTTAATGATCAGAGTCTTTTACTCATATTGATTCTTTGGTGCATTTGCCAATTTTTTTAAGGTTTAATAAAAGTGTTCAACTGTGAATTTTAAGGTAACAGAACTAGGCTACATAACACGTTTATATTATGCACTTCTCCTTCCACATTCTAGTCCGAATGAAAAACAAAGCTCAGTTTCTTCTTCCAAGTATTTGTGCACAATATTTAAAATAATAATAATAAAAAAGATGACCAGATTCCCCATTATTAAAATTTGTGTGGGATTAACAATGAATAATCACACTTCACTCGCACTCGAGCGCACGTGTAACTTCAGATAGCGAACGGGACCGTCTCTGGGTTCAGAGACACACACGTGCTGCAGTGCTTTGCTGAACCAAGGTCAGAGGAACCAGCTACAAGAGATGGCTTAGCATTGTAAGAAAGGCGAGGGCTTCCCTCCACCTTGGGGAGGAGAAAAAGGTGAAAATTAATTTAAAAGAAAGCCTTTTTACTGGCCTGAAATGTATCTGTGTTCCCTTTCAATGTCAGTTACTTAAAAGAAATAACCAAAAAACAAACCTCAAACAATAAATAATGGAATTACACATTTCTTCATTAAATAGCATTCTTGTTACCAACAAAGTCTTCCATAATTTTCTTCAGTCACAGCAACAGACAGAACAAATAATTTGCCTTAATATAGATTGCAACTAAAATATACTCTAGATTACCTTAGAAAATATTACTGTAAAAATTCAGTGGGGAAGGACATTGGTTTAGACCAACTTACAAATGTAGTTAACAATACTAAGTATTTCTTTTTTTTAAAAAAAAGGAAGCAATTTAAGGTTCTGATCTCACATCCCAAAACTGAAGATTCATGCTTAAAACCTGCCAGTCAATTCTTAACATCTGTCCCGTCTCAGTACTGCAGAGCTTAAAGACCGTAACGGCTGATCTTTCCTGCTTCAGTAGGAGCCAACAGACACCGTCCCACGCACCAGCTCACACGCATAGCCCACCCATGCTCTCAGGTTGTCCCTGCTACAATGCCACCACCATTACATATAACCTGAAGGAAGCACTATAAAGCTGTACTGCCTGGAGGTGACCACCGCCCGGACTGCGTGGTGTTAAGGTTGGATGTACTTGCTCGCTCACGCTGCTGAGACATGAACTTTTAGTCACTGCTCAAGCAGGCCGGACTTGAACCGATACAAAGTTGGAGATAAAAAGGTTCAACACCCCATTACCAATCCTCCGAGTCACAAATCTCCAAAATCACTTATTATTTGGAAACCTGATGCAGCGCCAGGCACAACAGGGAGGGAAAATCCTCCTTGCTGGCCATAGTTCTGGTGCATCCACTATCAGTGAAAAGGTTCGTGCTAAAGGAACTGCAGTCCAGGTTTATAAGATATTAAAAGGAACTAGCACAGTTAAATAATATGAGTATACCTGCTTCACCTTGCTTTTCATATTTTTAATATTAAATATTTTGAAAGTGACAGCGTTAAACTTAAAAGCCACCACCGTTCCTTTTATCTTCCCGCTTCCGTTGGTGCGACCGGTACAAAAGCACTCCTGATATTAGAGAGGATCTTTCGGAGCCAGTAGGATGGCAAAACAAAGTACAGGGCGCTGGCAAGAACCTTATGATGACTCGGTAATCCCTTGAAAATAAAGAAAGTGAAACAACTGCACATTTGGGCCCAATCTTTTTTTTGAGAGCAAGAACTTTTTTTTATGATCAGAAACAAAACTCTTTAACAGATCTTTTTAATACCTAGCATGAAAAACACATTCAGTAGCCGAATTTCAGTACTCCTTTCAGTTGCCGCTTTCAGATTAATTGGAAACCACTTAATGTTTGCAAAATTTAAGCTTTCGATATGAATGGGGCTTTTCTTGTTAGCGCACACATAAGATGCATCTTAGTTACTTATGTGCACTTCCCACTCTCTAACCTGAAACAAATTCAATTTCAGAGCAACCAAAAACCAATTTTGGCCAATTTATATTTTTTTTTTTTTTTTTTTTTAAGTGGATACAATTTGGCTGAGAACCCGTAGATAAAATTCCAACTGAAAGTGAAATAAAGCAGGTTATACATTCATGAAACTCAGGGAGTAATACCGAACAGCAACTGCCGCATCACTTCAGTAATGTCACGTCAACACTACAGCAAGGCAGCAGTTCCTATTCTCACAAATAATGCACCGAGACTAAATGAGGAACAGTGTGTGGGGGGAGAATCACACATAAAGGGAAAATACATCAGAGAGATTATTGCACAGGAGGCACTGTATGAGAAACAGAATACATTGGCTTCAAAAAAAAATAATCTAAATTTGTTTACTCTTAAGTTAATGTAAAAAATACAGAGGCTATGCCTCTTTGTAGTGTACTGTCACTGTTAAAAATAGACTTACAAACAGCCGCCTATTTAACAGGGAATGTCAGGAAAGAAGAGGGCCTGAATTTTATGGGCATCCCAACTACAGTAATTAGGAAAAGAATAATATAAAAAGAGCCAATGTATAGACCCTCAAATTGAACAGGGTAACTGCATTTTTTCTTTAATTTCCAAATTATATTAATACCCTAGGACATGTTGATTACCAACTATACCCTCTTATCCTGCAAAAACACGGCAGAGACAAGAGTCCCAACGGACAACAGGGCTCTGCAGGTCTTTCTATTGGTATCCTTTTGCAGGACAGGTGCCTTGATTTCCAAACTTTATTTTCTTGAATAATCGCTCAGCATGCCAATTCAAACCAACCACTTCCCTTGAGAGGCTACCTTTCCATCTCCACTGCAAGTCTGCACACTTCATGTGAAAACAAACAAACAAAAAACCAACAGCAATTTTTAAAATGTAATATTGTATAGAAAGCTTGGACCTTGTAAACTTGGACCAAGAAACCAAAAATTAAGACCTTCTAGCGTGTGGTATAAAAAACCCAAGGAAGTGTATACCTGCCTTCTGACTTCACAGAAAAATCAGAATTTGCATAGGATATACTTTGTGCAAGGCAACAAGCCTCTTCAGTATCTGGAATATAACTAATCTTGCTCAGAGTTCTTCTCTTCATGGATATCAGATATCATCAAATTTGTGTTTTAAGTAGTCTTTCATGACCTTGGCAATGGGTAGTTCATCAAGTAGTTTTAGGTTTTGAAGGCCTATACACTGACGGATTTTAATTCGGCATAGATCTTGCAAGTTTCTGGGCTGTCCTGAAAAGACAAAAGGAACACATAAAAGTAAAATGATCACATTTTAAACATACTTTACTCAGTAAAATCACAGATGTTTGCTGTTTTCTAAAAGGCAGAGGGAAGGGAAAAATTACAAGAGAAAAAAGGGTGGAAGTTAATATCTTTCTAATAGAACAATAATTCAACAAAATCAAGGGTTGAATCCTAAAAACATTTTCGCATGCACATAATTTTACCGATTTCAGTGTTAACATGACATTATCCATGTGAGGATTCCCACGAGGTGGCAACATACATTTAAGCACTGTAGAACAGCGTAACTCCTCCATTTAACTTTTTGTGGATTTTTTTTTTCTATCCTTGTAACACCTGGAGAAAATAACCCCTCAGTCTCGCTTCTCTTCAAACATTAAGACAAAAATTGTCTACATTCAACTAGGCAGTCTCCTTAGAGAGTGAGGCTTTATAAAAAGTTATTCAAGGATCGTGTGGCAGAGTCAAAGATTTTTTTCCTCTTCTAATAAATAGACGAAGCCTTTAGGCTTTGGATGCAGACAACCTTGTCAAACAGAAAGAGATGAAAATATGAGTTAACCACTGTCCACAGAGAAAGGCTTTACTGACATCACATGAACTTTAGAATTTCTGGCAAGGATTTTCCAACATAACCGGTTCTTTTTCAAACTCATTCTTAACAGGAAACTGTTCAGAGTCAAACACCTTGAAAAACGGTCCCCCATGCAACATAAGAAAGATTAATCTAGCCTTGTATCCGAGAGTACCCAGCAATGAATCTGGAGGAAGAAAGAAAGAGCAGAACAACAGACATTGAGAAATCTTGTCCCAATATACCCTTCTAGCTTTCAGCACCGGTGCCTTTGGGCCTTCCTAAACCAGAGATTGCACACAGATCTATGTCTTTAATAGCTGTGAATGGCCTGCCCTTTGTAAATCTGTCTAATGTTTTTTGAACCCATTCATGCTTTCAGTATCCAAAACATCCTGTGGCAACAAATTTCACAATATAATTAGGCGTTGGCTGGAAAACTACAAAGTGCTTTTATTTATTTTAGATCTGCTTCCTGATCGCTTCATTGCATGCCTACCATTCTTTGAGTTACAAAAAAAATAATGAATAATTGTTCTCACGCCAGTCAAGATTTTACATACCTTTATATTAATCTCCGTCCTCCACTCATGCTTGGTACCTCTTTCCAAAGCTGAAGACATTTGCTCTATTTAATAAACTCCCACCACAGGAACTACTCCAAACCTCTGACCAAACTAGCTGCCTGCCTTTGTGCTTTTTCATCGTTCTGCTATATCTTTTTTGAAGTTACCCCAATAACATATTGAGGGTGTGCTAATTAATATTTTGACCATCGACTTAACTGTGTCACGGCCTGAAGGAAAAAAACCCAACAAAACAACTAAAAAACCCCCCCCAAAACTCACACAAAAGAGAGGCTTACAGAGTTATGGCACCCAATGGCTGTCAGAATCAAAATACTCAGCACCATGAACAACGTAGGTGCTTATGCCGGTATCAAGATAATCTGTCACCAACAGAGCAACTTACTGTAGTCTCACTATCTGTATAACCATAAATTACAAAAGCAAGCACTGTCTTTTACCAAGACAGACACAGCGATTTTATTGAGCTGACTGCTTGAATCAATCATTTCTTTAAAAAGCAGTACAAACCAACAAAAGCGACTTTAAATAACTTAGATGGACGTTTCCAATTAGCTTTCCTGAGCTGCTGCCGATTAAGCAGGACATTTTTGAAAGCAGAAATGCCTTCTTGATGTGGGCAGGCTTTGCGGTGGACAGTAGGATGCTGTCGGCTCACCGGGCACAAACCTGTTTGGAGGAGACAGGAGGGTTTTTCTCACCCGAGCCAGCCCCAGAGCTGGCTCTGGAGCCCATCCCTTCTTCCATCCTTCTCCTAGTTCAGCAACACCTTCAATGAGCTAAATAGACATTGACATTATGAGTTTATTAGACTTTCCTGATAAGCACAGAATAAAGAGATTATGAAACTATTTCCTGTTTTCTACTTTGGGCATTTTGTACATGGTTTCAGTTACCCTTCATAGCGAGTTCCTCCTCCTTTTTTTCCCCCCTGCGTGGCTTTTTCTATAGAAATGGGCTGACAGACAGGTATACACTGGAATTTATCTTAAGCACTAAAATTATCCAAGGTAAGCTAGCAGAAGTAATGCATGAAAATAATCTCAGTCTGTTTTTAAAGACGTTAGATTTGAAATTAAAGAACATGAAAATTTGAGTTTCCTTCATATAAGCTTAAAATACTTTTATTATACTTATCACCACAGTATCTAAATGTCAATTTATTTTTAATTATGTCCTTCAGCCATGACTTAGAATACAGATCATTAATTGCTTTATCCACTGGTGGTTTCTTCTTAGTGATTTCCCACACACACACACCTGAAGGAATTCATTTTTACAATTCAGACAAGAGCTAAATGCTCAAGCTTCAGGGAAAGAAAATTTACTTTTGGTAAGAAACCAAACAGAGGAATCTTTACAATGATAAAGGTATAGTTCTGATGCTTTAAATGTGAATGTAAACAGGGTTCAGAAAGGATGCACCTTTTCAAAGTTAACTGCAAACAGCAGCATTAGAGGGTAGAGGGCTACAGATCTCTACGTGTATTTTCTGTAGTAGAGTACACAATAATACAGCTATGAGACACTGATTTCTGGTTTCAGAAATGAATGCCTTTTAATTAACATCCTACGGGTTTTTTTGAGAACAAAATGGAACAGACAACTTAAAATACCCAGAAGAAATTGGTCATCAGTTAATTCAAAAAGACCCGATTATCAAATGTATGACATTTTCCCCTGATAAGCCTAAAAATATTTCCTGGGAATGTGTTAACAATGGACATTTCCAGTGTTAAGCACCAGTTGCTACATCTAGTGGCTGTTAGTGTCTTAGGTCACGCCTTGCAAATTCCAGGGTTATTAATGCATTTGTGATTTATTAGAAACGGTGTCTAGAACACTTACTCATTCTTGGTTGCATCTGAATGAAAAAGAAAAAAAAAATAAAGGATTACAGACCAATGTCAGTGAACCTTGGTTTGGCAAATGAAAAATGTTATTAGTAATTTGGCAAAGTAAGACAAGTTAAATGATGAATAAAATTCTGTTTAAAAACGATTAGGAAGTAGCAACTTTGGTTATATCCTGCATCACAAGTTTGGAAAGTTATTGAGGCAAATAAGCTAGAGAGGAAAAGAATTAAAAAAGAAACAAAAACCTCCACAAACATAAAAGGCAAGATTGACCTAATTACCACCATCATGCAAAACAGCGACTCAAAACTACTGATCACCTTAAAAAAACCCCAGCACATCCCTGATCTGGTCTCAAAGGGACACCTCGATGATGGCAGCGCTGTTATTCTGGAGCAGCCGCGTTATTGTTAGGCTGTGACACAACCCGAGTTACCATCGTGGCAGCAAACACCCGCCGCTGTTGGAGAGCTAAAGGTTTGTTAACATGTTCACCAGAACAAGTTTGATACTTCAGTCGATTTATTTCGCAAGCTTTATAGTGAATATCAAATAAATTAGAAGTATAACTACAGGAAAAAGATGTATAGTTCATCTTTTGCCTTCACAGTTCACGTTACGCGCTGTAACAGAAAGCAGAAATCCCCACCAATGCACTTTTTGTGTATAGTTTCCCAAACACAACAGAAAAGTTTCTTCCAAATGGAAGAAATGTAAAACACAGGTTTATAAAACAAAGAGGAATTGCTTTTTGATTTTTTTTACTCTCTACAGGCAGCAGACTTCAGTACGTATAAATTTAAACATTTTCCTAACTCAGCTTTTCAACGAAGTAAGTTCCTGAGCCTTTTTTTCCCTCTTAAATAATAATTATTTTACTTAAATAACGAAACAAGCCTTTTAAATTATTATTAATAGATTTGCCTTCTCTAGCAAAGCAAGGGGAAAAAACGCATGTTTTAACAGCAAGAAATTATTACAATTAATCCTGAATTTCCATTTAATACTCCATTCCTTTCCTTTTTGCAGTTTCAAGATTTTTCTGCTATTCTATCTGGAAATTTGCTCTTCTACCCTGGAGGCAGACAAAACTTACATTTAGGATTACACCTATACGAAGAAAAAGAACTGTACGTCATCGGCACAACTGTGCTGCAGTTTATGCATTTAGACCTGTGCCTGCCTGTTCTTCCTATGCACACCACGGTCCCCAAGAAATAAAACACTAACTCACCTAACAGGTCTATATTTAAGGATCATTACGGCGTAATATTAGACCTAGTACCTCTGACATTGATTTTTAGGGACTCTCACCCAGTTTTAAGCAAAAGTGTTGTAAAGGTGGGAAGGGGGAATCCCCGCCAGTTTCTTCCACTGAAGATAAAAAAAGCACCTGCGCAAAGCAAAAATCATGAACTGACCTGTTCTGTTACCCAAGAAAAAACTTAGAGTAACTGAAATTAATACGCTTGTAGGCTGCAAGAAGATCCTCTCTGATGTATTGTTCCACCTACTAAAAAAAAAAAACCCACGTACTTTTAAAATCAAACAATCAATGTCATTGGCTTAAGTGGATAAGCAGTTTCTGAAGAAGTTAAAATGAAAAAAAACAACATTAGTGCCATATTTCAGAAGCCGCCCACAGTTTTCTCTACAATATTAATACATTTCTCTAGAAAAAAGCTTGCAGTGGTATTTCTCAAACTGCGCCTCTGCCTCCCCTGGGAATTGTGAAAGGCTGCAAACAGTAGCAAGAAACCATTTGGTAGTTTCTTTTTAGCTAAAAAGGAAACTTAAAAAGTTTTGTGAAACATTAAAAAAAAAAATGTTGAAACCAGACTGACGTTTGGCTGGCAGCAGCTCAGTTCCTCTAGAGTATCAGAATAAGTATTTATATCCACAGCTAACTATTAAATCCATCCCTTAATTCACATCAATGAAGGAACTCAGCTACTCCCAGCAATTAAA